TCCCAAACACGACACAACGACACCATCGTGGGTGGGCTCCGAAGTAAACGGTTGTGTCCACGTTCTCTCCGATATTTTGCTTCATCGTGGGTATCAGGGAAACGTAATCGGACCAGGGTTAATTGCGTGGCTCCGGTGTGGTTCAAGACCACGTGCTGGGGCCCACAACATAGTGAACGGATTCATTGAGATATTGCCGTGCATTTTATGAGCAAAAGATTCACTTTAACACAAGCAACCACTTGCGTGCCTTCGACTTTGAACACTGCAGAGCAATGTTGATCGAAATTGCAAATTTAGCCAAGCCGATCTTTTTTCATGTAAAAAATGTACTACATTATGTGCCGTACGTGCTTTGCCAAGAAAATCTACAACCCACACAGCATCAAGACTGGACAGTATACCGTCCGTTCTCAGCGAAATGCATGGAATTTGCTGGATAAACGCCAGATTATGGCCCGACGTCCACCCTCGGTGATGAAGACTCACAGCAGGCAATTGAAGCCACCTCTCGGCACTGCACCCTTCCTATCCAGGGCACCACCAATGCACCGCTGTTGATTCGCAGTCAGTCTGCCAACACGCATGGCAAGCCAACGCGTCTCCATCATCGCGTGCAAAATCAGGCGTCAGCAAGTCCGCCGATCAGTCAACACTGCATTCACATTCAACTGGGGCGGGTAGTCCCACTGGTGACTTGGGAGGGAGACGCAGCACGCTTTACTGATAGTGGGCACGAAACTCGTTCAGGACTCGAACACAATCCACACCGCTGATGGTGCTAGTAGGTGCCCACTGCCATCCACAACTCAGTGGAACCGAAGCTGATGGCATGTGGACGATGCACGTTGAAGCGGTTTCCTTGTGAGGCACACTGAAGAGGCAGACGTATGCCGTGGTGGGCCCGGTAATTCATTCAGACTGCTGGAATCCGCAAGATGATTGGCATCGTCGGTTCGCCTGCGGTTCCTGCGAGTTCAACATCTTCATGAACTCAAGCACCGCTTACATGCCCACGACTTGACAGAAGTGGTACACGACTAGCTGTATGCCAGACTGTCGACACTTCCACTTCATTTTGAACAACAGCATTCGGTGTTTGTTCGACCACAATAGATCCTCAATGCAACCATGAGTTTGGCATCAACGAGGTGCTCGCTTAAGGAACTTGGGGAGAGGAGGATGAGGAGGAGATGCGAAGCGATAAGTGCACGAAATGACGCTGGAGCATGGGTCTGAGTTCAAAAAACTTGATGCAACCTGGATGTCTTCTGCGTCAGGTGAACTTGCCAGATCAATATCAAGCTGCCACAGTCGCCCCTATCTATCATGGATTTTGTGTTTTATTGTGCTCAAATAAATGCAACCCTAAGCTCATTTGATCCGAAAATGGCGACATTGACTTGGGAGCAATGAGGGAAGGCTATGAGGGTCACGCTGGCATATCTATTGCCAAACACGAATAGTTTATCCTCCGAATTCGCGAGCACCAACCCAAGCACTGAAACCGCAGGCCTCGAACACGTGACACTTTTTGCGGTGAGAGGTAATAGTGTGAGTGTGAGTTAAATGCCAAAGGATTCGTGGATTTTGGCAGATGAACCGACGCATTGCGTGTGGCTTCAACTTGACAAGATGCCGCGTTTGATCACGCGCGTGAAGACACAATAAGCGCGGCTTCTTCATTAGGAGGTGCCACAGATGCGTCACACCACAAGAGTGCAAAGTTTGTAGTGCCACGAAGGGCTCGTCTACAGCCCTGACGGCTTCATTTTTGCCTTTTGACCGCGCATTTACCATCACATCACTAAGCAGGAGCACGTGCATTGTCCCATGTAGGCACCATTGCAAAACGCTGCATGTTCTCACTAAGATCGAAGTCGTCTTGCACTCGCACTGAGAATTCCAACCACGCTTCTGCCCAATCAACTACTAGCAATGGGTTTGAGACAAAACCTGCTTCTCAGGCACCGATTGCTGTCACGTGTTCACACAACACCTGACACGACGTTTGCGTCACTCGGCATTGAAGTGGTGGCGGTAGTTGCTATTCGAATCGGGCTTTGTTGAATTGCAACCGCATTTCCCTTGCATTGTTTACTTTTCTCACACCCAGTGTACCCATTTTTGCCCTGTTTCCTCTAGATTCATGCGCTTTTAAGTCCACTTGCTAACCGAGAACGCCATCACACAGACCGCTTTCGAAGGCTGCGTCCAGGCCGCAATCGGGGACTGAAACACCACGCTGGATTTCATCGCAATTGGTCCAGTGTTTGATCTTAAGTCATGTCGTACAACAAACAGCTCGCAGTTGGTGTGCAGTGCGCTAGCTGCACGCGTCATCTAGCTTTCGCACACCGTACTACTTACGGATGTTTGTCGAAATTCCTTTGTCTTCAAAGGCTCCTGCTCGTTAATAAATGCAAGCAAAATCCACACCATGTTGTCGCCAAACCACCTCCATTGATCATACAAACACAATTTGAGGTTGCAACGTCGTGAATTGTTGCCTTAACCGCGGAGCTTTGAATGCAAGAGCTAATAGCATGCTTCAACCGGCGACTGTTTTCACGTCGCCAATGCAGTTGTACGTTCTTTGGCAAATCTTAGAGAAAGCATTCAAATCCTGAGTCTTATCCCTGATGATCCAGAGTAAAATCTCAGAACAGGTCAATGTTGAAAAGCTTGTTGTGGGCCCCAGCATGTGGTCCTGAACCACGCAGGGGCCACGGAATTAACCCTGGCCCGATTACGCTTGTCTGATGCCCGAGATGAGGGAAAAAACTGGAGAGAACGGGACACAATCGTTTGCTTCAGAGCTCAGCCAAGACTGGTGTCGTTGTGTCGGGTTTGCGAGTGTGTATTTATATCTCGGATGCATGAGTCGTAGATGCGTTAAAATCGAGACCTAGGTGTAAGGATAATCCAGATATTCGTGTGAATGAAGGGGGGGGGTTAAGGATTTGTGCGGCTGTCGCCATGCTGCGAGAAGGGGAGCCTTGTATCGGAGGCGAATCGATAGGATTAAGGAGTTCAATAGACGCGATTCACAACAAGCTAATCGTGCTACAAATAACCCAGTAAGACACTACGCCGGCGTTTTAGCTACGTGCTTGGGAATTTGCAGTTGGCACTGCTTTATCGACTTGCCAGTCGATTCAAACATTTCGCTTTCTGTGATTGGTTAATGCTCCCACCCCGTCACCCACCTACTTTAGTTAACAGACCGTTTCCGTCTTTGCTTGGTGTGACAATTGTGGCAGGTCTTTGTTAAATGGATTTCGGGATTGACCGGTGCTATCTCAGATCAGCAAAGGATCAATTATTTTGCGTGAAGCGCGTGAGAACTCCATTTATGCATAAGTTATACGAATGTTGCCGACGCTGACGTCACATGAAGCCCTCTCAAATTCAGCCAACGATGTGTCGAGTACGATCTCACGTTGGTACTGTAGTGGCTAGATAATTTTAGCACTACCTTACAACCCTCTAGTTAACAGCTCGCAACTACCCGAGAAAGGGGGAAAGGAGGAGACGGAGAACACCACCGTTTATTAGTGTCGAACCAGCCAAGTGGCTGTGTGTGCGTATGAGTACGCGTGCGTGACAGGCGAATGCTGACAAAAATCAATAACAAAAGCGGTGAGTCATTGGACCACTCGGGCCCCCATGCACACACACTCACGCGGGGTGGCTGTCAGTCCACTACAGTACATCTAGACACCGCAACTTTGACACCACAGTCACGCAAAAAAATTCTGCAGATGCTTCTTTTCTCGAAAACGCTTTCTGTCCTTGTGAGTAGCACTTGAACACTAAGTCTTTGCACTAATACAAGCCACCAACAAAACAACTGCATATGTGATATAGCAGAGTGGGTTCGCATGCGAAGCAAATTTGGCACACTCAGCGTTTAACTTGACAGACTTTGTCCTTGACACAACCAATCACTGTGCCTCAATGTTGACAAAGTGGCAGTGCACTTGTACAACCTTAAATACAAACTAGAGTTTAAAATTAGCAGTTTTTTCGGTGACGCCTAGTGCAACAGGTGGAAATGAGTACACCCGACTGATTGGCGTGAATTTGTTTACTATCATTAGGAGAATTCTCGGAGATGCGCAAGAGCAGCTTTTCGGCGTGGTTGGGGTAACAAAGGGGCTTCATTGACCACTT